CAGATACACTACCAAGTACTTAGCTTCAGAGCAAGTAAAAATGGCGGCGGTTGCCCCAGCGAGCCTTAAAGCCATTTCTTCATACCTTAAAACGGCTCAAGAGTACGATAAACGAGATCCTGTTGTGGCTTATTTCTGTTAGTATGATTTTAAAAACATTTCTACCTTGTGGTAACAGTTTTAGCGAAGCTTTCGTTATTTAAGTTTAAATAACAAGAGCCCTTCTGATACAATGAATATATGAAGTTCATATATTTTGAAGTGCGGTATTAGATACGTATGATGCCCGATTTTCGCAGTAGAGCGCTTAACAGCTTGCTCCCAGTTGGCTTGTTAGCTCAATTGGTAGAGCGCTGCACTAGTATCGCAGAGGTCAGTGGTTCGAATCCCGTACAGGCCTGATTTTTTTCAGGTCTGATTTTCGCTATGGCATAAATAGCGCTCTCTACTGCGAGGATCGTGCATCATACGTAAGAGCCCTTCTGTTTGGAAAAAAGTACTTACTGGCCACAAGCTTGTAGAATTTAGATGATACAGTTGCCTGTAACAGAATTCTCAGTCTGCCAGTGAGAGAGCGATTTGATATCTGATAACAGCTTACTGCCACCAGTGCTACCCGAGTTAGAAAAAGAATAAATAAGAAAGTGACATTAGGTTGTCTATAATTTGTAAGGTTATATAGAGTTTCGCCCATAACGAGTTTCGTCCACTTCGTTTCGCCCAGAAGGAGAATGGTTTCGCCCACAAGTAGAAGTAATTAAATCTAGTCGGGTAATTTTGTTATATTAACTAAGTTGAAATTGTAAATTGGCCACCTTAACGCTGGAAATGTCCTTTATTTCCCTATAATCGGGGTAAAATAAGCTTACGAATCTAGAATCTTGACCTCTCTTGTCAGAAATAATTCTAGTCAGATCAGAGATTCTTATTTTATGTAGCCAATTGTTTACCCAGAGCTATACCCAGTATAGGTCTGGGTGAAAGGAGGCTAGGTCTGGGCGAAACGCTTTATGTGCAAAACTCGTTATGGGCGAAACTTGTTATGGGAGAAACTCGTTATGGGCAAAACTCGTTATGGGTGAAACTCGTTATGGGCGAAACCCGCGGCTTCCATTTGTAAGGTCGGACGTAAAGTAGTAAGATGTTTTTATTTTATTAAAACAGCTTGTTTGTTGCAAGAGGGACAATTTAAAGTTTCGAATGCTAAATATCTATTGTTGGATCTTCCATGTACTTGTATCCATGGAACCCTTGGACCTAATACACATGAGCATGAGCTAAAATCACAGAATGGTTTCTACATGAAAATGTAACACAAAGTAACTATAGCGTTAATTTTTTGTATTTAGGCCGCCTTTATGCAGTTCAGAAAGGTATCAAAATTGATAGCAAGAGCAATGAGAGCAAATCATTCTTGTTGCAGCTAATGGACCAGCTTGAAAAGGTATTGATGACACTAGGGTTCTCCTAGTCTAGTTGATTCTTAAACAAACAAGAGGCTGCAGTAGCCTTCACTTGGGCTCCCCTCTATGATTATGTACTTACCGACTGAGTTGGAGGGCTGGATGGGAAAATATTTAGCTCAGGGCCATGATGTATGGACTGAGCGCAGTGAGGTCCGTGCCTCGTGACTGAGAGCCAAATATTTTCCTGTCCAGCCCAACAAAACTCAGTCAATATGACTACTAAGTTAGGATGCAATAGACGGGCACACATAGCCGCATGAGTATGAAAAAATCTGGGATTAAAACTTTTCCTTAATTTTTTTCAACTTAAAACAAGAAACTTCCAATTCCTTGAAAAATGTGACTTTCATTTCTCATGTCTGTTTTCCTTTAGGATTTTGCAGCAAAGCAATGTGAAGGTATCAGGGCCAGATGGCTTTTTCCAGACCGGCTTATGTCAACCCATCTGGCCCAGTACATGTCACCTTTCACTATAATTTTCTATGGGATTATGCGAGCGGGGTTGAACAGGTCATATGATAAAAGGGTTTACAAAACAGAGTATTACAGTAATAAGTAACAGAGAAGCAAGAAAACAAGTAATGGAACAATGCCCTTCCATGAATTAAAAATTGGTTCAACAACTCAACATTGGTAGATATACCTATATCATTATTAATCATTACTCTTTCTTGCTTTCATGTTCAGTTTCAGCCTTTTTTTTTGGTGCTCTAAAGGTGTTTACTGGTACCTTAGTTTATATAATCCATTTTTGTCCAAATTGTAACCATAAAAATGAAACAAACTGCTTTTTGCCAACTGAAGAGATAACATTTTGGGCTTTGGTGCATGTTAGAAACCTTTGCGTGGTGGTTACTGTGCACTTGATTCCAGTTTTAGAGGTCAGGGTATGAGACCTAGTCAAGGCACGAAGTTATTTTTTAATATCTCTCATAAATACGTTTCCTACCATGGCTTACAGAAATCTTTGTCCCTCTATTTGAACCCCAGAGATTCGATAAATATCTGGCTAACATTGTTTTCTTGGTCTGTACTGTATGTTACATAACCTCATTTTTCTCTACCTGGATTTATGGCCTGCAGGCTTCTTGCTTGTGCCATAAATCAGAGCGGGACTCAAACTTGGTTTGTAAAAGGTATTTCCTGGGCATGACCCTGCCTTTCACAGTGCTTCTCTCTCTACCTAGGAGTTGTAATTTAGTACAGGCAAACTGTCATGGAAACCCGTCAAAAGGTGGGCAGGTTACCTGCAATAAAGCAGCGAGGAGTTGTAATTTAGTACTGGCAAACTGTCATGGAAACCCTTCAAAAGCTGGGCAGGTTACCTGCAATGAACCAGCATCTCTTGAGGGGTCTTAGTAATACCCCAATACCACAAATCTGTAAACTTGCTTTCGTGTTCTTTAAGGCCAACACTTTTATTTCACATATTGCCTAGTCTTTCATGGCAAACTCTTTTTTATTTCTGATAGAAAAAGAAAGAGTTAAGTGCCCAAGGTCATGAGGCTGTTTCTGATGAGGCTATTTCCAAGATTCATGTAGAAGAGAAAGCTGTACAGTTATTTCTGTGGGCAGACACTGAAGACCGTGCTGCAAATTTTAACAAGTAGGTTGAATTTTTCTAAACAGTCATTGAAAAAGAGCATACAAACATTTTGACATAATTTATATATGAAAGACCAGATGAATGCTCATTAATACCTGTCTTCGTTGGGTCACTTGCCTGTTTGTACCTGTGTGTAATGTTGGGTAAGGAGTGGCTCTGTTTGAATAAACTGTCTTATCCAATGATTGATGTAATTATACATTCTCTTACATCATACCTACGGACAACAGATTTTATATAATTATGTAGAAGTGATGTCATACCTACAGACAATAGTTTTATGTGCTCTTGTCTTTACGAGACTAGTGTAGCTCAGGAATATGCATAATAAAACAATTATTGGATTTGGTTTTTGTATGATAGCAATAATTGACAAGGCCTTAGTTTGTGTTATTTGCCTCAGCCTTCTGCTTCAACAGATCAGTAACACAAACTTTGGCCTTGATAATTAACGCTATTGGGCTCAACCTCATCCAATAATTGTTAAATGTAAATTGGCCACCATAAAGAGTTTTAGCATTTATAACTCTCTATGGTGGCTAATTTACATTTATGTATCAATTCAGTTGATAAAACCCCAATTACTTTCGTTATGCCCATCACCCCTTTATTAACTTGTCCAATAGTACTTTAGAATCCAGTTTTCTATCCTCTAGCTTTTCTGTATCTTTACCTTGAAGCAGCACAAGAGTATGGTGAACTAATGCTTAGTCAACTTCCTTATATGTAGCTTAAAACCAAAACTTAATGACTTTGCAATTTGTTGTCTGGTATAGCTGTGCAATGTTGAAGGAGGGACTATCTACAATTTTTTCAACTAAAATTCATGCTAAGTGTGAATGGAATGATTGTTTGTGACTCTTTCCAGAAATGTTGTCAAGTCATTTTATACATCTAGTCTTCTCTATGATGTTTTGGAGCAGTTTGGAGATTTGTCAGAAGAGGTGACTAGAAAAGTTAATTTTTTTTAAATTTTTAATGTGACAAACACAATATGCTTAAGCATGATATAAAACTAAGTGTCAAAAGTATTCTGCAATGGTGTGGTTTTGCTTTACTTCCCTGTGGGTGTAATTGGTACAGAAAACTTGAGCTACTTTCTCAATGAATCAGAGTTAAAACTAGAACCAATTGCAGCTTGATCATTTGCATTTTTGTATACTTTAAGCAGTACACTTGTTTCTTTAAGTTGCACTTTCATTTAGGGTTGTCATGGAATTATGTAATGGTCTTTTGATCTGAACTGAGTGATAACTGAATTGAATTATTCTTGAGTAGTAAGCCCACAGCAAGCTATTACACCATCAGCAGCCACTTATGGAAAAACTTATTGAAACCCTTGTTTGAAAAGTTTTAAATGGTAAAGGCTTGTCGAGAATAATTCATAAGAACACCATTTGAATTGAATAGAACATGTCATTTAATTGTTTTTGCCTAAAGGGCAGTAAGGATTTTGTTGTGGTTTTGTGCATCTTCTTTGGATTGTTGATAAGCTGCTTTTTACTTCGAAGGCATCGCATCACCGTAAATATGCGAAATGGAAGGCAGCTTACATTCACAAGTGTCTGAAAAGCGGAGAAACACCTATACCAGGTCCCGCTGGTGGAGATGATGAAGGTCTGGGTGGGGAGGCTGAGGGAGGGATTGCACCCTACCCTCCCCCAGGCCCAGCGAACACACAGCAGCCTCCCTACCCAACCAACGCAAGTGGAGTACCAGGGCAGTTTCCTTCTCTGCCATATTCATCAGATCAGACAAATTTTCCAATACCACCAACAGAGCCGAGTGCACAGCCGGTAAGTGTCTGTGTAAGAGGAGTTTCAACTTCATTGCCCAGCTTTTTATGCGAATGGCATGTTCAGCTTGTCATGGCCTAATTTCGTACGATGAGTTTATTGAGTAATTTAACAAAAGAATAAACCCAAATGAAAGGAAGATTGCCAGGGAAGGGGTTGATTGGTTTGGACTGGAAATGATAACCTTGTAAGATGTAAAAATCGTAGCTCCTTCAACTGCTGCCACTAATTGATAAAGGCTTGTGGGGTTTGTTACAGCGGGCGCATCCCACACAAACAGCTGTTATAAACATTTTAAAGCAGACGACAATGATAGCGATATGCTCACCGGGATACCGAACCTTGTTAGCGGCAGTAACTTACACCATTTTAAAATTACTGGTATTTTTCATTAACTTTTTTGTCAGTGTCCTGCAGTAGCCCCAGTCCAGCCAGCAATACCACCCACCATACCGTCTACGGCAGCTCCACAAACTAGCCTATCTCTTGAGGATAACGAAAAAGCTCAGAAATACTGCCGCTTTGCTGCCAGTGCCTTACAATACCAGGACGTTAAGACAGCAATCGAGAATTTGCACAAAGCGCTGGCGTTGTTACAGAAGTGACTTTTCTCGGGGGAAAATATGATAGACGGCGAAAATGTAAGCATTCTGTTTCGTAAACCAAGCCACAAGAGAAAATATTTGTTGCGATATTTTGCATGGAATCTGGTTGATTTTAAAATCAGGAGGCGGTAAGCAAGAACTCACACTAAAAATTTGCAAAAGAAACATTCAATTTTGAGATAGGGAATTTGCAGGCATCTATAATTTTCTCCCATCTGATCACTGAAAAGGACGGCAGTTTTATTCCAAGAGCAGCTTGTTTGAATAATTTAGATAATAAATATTGTTACATGACCCCTATAGCCCCGTGAGTACTTTTATTGCAAATTATCAAGCAAAAGTCCCTATATGAGGGCCGCACGCCATGGCGGAAGCAGGAATGGTGTCGGAATGGGATTCCATTCCTCCCTCGCCCCTTGTCCCTTACAGTACAGGGCCCAGTTGTTCGAAGGCTGAGTAGCACTGACCCACGGTTAAATTTTAATCCTGCTTTCTATATTTTTCTGTTCAAAAGCCCTTTTGGGATAATTTGCGGATCCTTTTTGGACCATTCAATTGTCAAATTGTAGGTAAATGGAATTACACTGAATTTTCTTTGAAAGCTTTCACATCTGAAATCAAATATCACAAAACCCCAGGGTTATCTTAACCTAGCTTTGAACAACCCGGCCCAGGTGTATAGTGTAATAAAATGATCATTCTGCTGGATTACACCCGCAAAATATTCTAGAAAAAAGATCCAAACTTTTACTGATAGTATTGGCAATGGACAATACACGAAACACCAGGATACAACAGATGTAAAATTAATTGGTGTGTGAATATTGTAAGATTATTGTTATCAGTAGTATAGGTCGTCTGGATGGAAGTAATCAATCAGAGAGCAATGCATATAATTAATGTTCCATGTATGGTCAATAGAAAACAATGAGTTATACGTCATCATGGATATACATAACAATGAAAACGTGACGTCACGGATATGTATAACAATAAAATGTGACGTGTAAGACGACGTCACGGTGTCTGTCAGAATGAAGCACTCAGAGAGAGGTTTGCATATAATGAACCCCAAATATGGTAAACAGAAAATGAATGACAGAAACACGTCACGAACGGCTCTGGAATGAACAAATCAAAAGCAAAATGATATCACATGGGCGGGTTTAGTGCGGGGTTAAAAGAAGAACACTCACATGTCACTTGATCACTCTCGCAACACAGTCAAGAAAAGAGAAGATAATTCAACAATAACAATAGCAAGAATGCAAGCTAAGGAGACGAAGAGGGCTCATCCCTATAAGAAAGCTTCGCAGAAAAAACAAGGCAAATCTACTATCCTTATTGACCCTCTTCCACTCAAGGAAATGAAGAAAATGAAATGGCAGATAGAAGTGGTTTCATCAAGTGAGGAAGTGCCTAACACAGTTGTACACAGTGAGACAACCAGTGGTCCAGTGGTTCCATTCACTGAAGGTACGGGAACGTTTCATTATTCAAGTCTTGAAGAAGTTTTGCATAGTTTACAAATGACCTATCCATGTCCAGTTCACCGTACTGACTTAGAGGAGGTGACATCAAAACAAGAAGATGAGATAAAAGTGTTTCCTCGTTGTCCAGAACCCAATTGTCCTGTCTTTTGTTGTAAAGATGATGTTATCTGGTATTCTGATCAGTGTAAGAAACAGGCGTATGAGTGGTTCACACTCGGTAGAATTGCCAAGATGGTCTGTCAGTGTGGTAATGCAGCTACTTTATCCATTTCAAAATCGGATAAGACGTATGGTCGGATGTACTTGAGATGTGGAGAGAGAAATTGTGATTTATTCTGCTGGTGGGCCTTTAAACCAAGCATTAAGAATACGGCCATTCTCACTGCTTTCATGAATGGAGAAGAGTGATTGACATGTACTTTTTAAATATCTTTTAGGAACTGGTGACACTCGCAGTCACATGATTGTTGAGAAGAAACACTTTTCATCGATTGAAAAGAGAATGGATTTTCAACCCAACTTTGTCACAGGATTTCTTTTTTCATCCGCTTGTGAATTAGAGGAAGTGTTAGCAAAAGTGAAAAATGGGCTTTTTGTTAAACCACTCTAGATGCTGCCAATCTACTTTTACTCATTGTGTGAAGGAATGAATTCAAAAGAATTTTGGAGAAATAGAACCGAAGCTTATAAATTACATACTGTAACGTTTGAACTAGACGCTATGCATTTGTGATTTTTGTAGATGCGGATCCTGTGAAAGTAGCAATGAGAATATGTGGATGCACAAAAGGGAAAGAAAAATTTAGAAAGATATCACGTCGTTTACGCTTTACTGAGGCTGAAACAGAATGTCTTATTCACTTTGTAGAACTTTGACGTCATTGTATGGATAAGTAGGCTATTTTTCTTTTATCGGATACAATGAATATGTGAAGTTCATATATTTTGAACTGCGGTTGTAGATACGTATGATGCACGATCCTCGCAGTAGAGAGCGCTATTTATGCAATAGCGAAAATCAGACCTGAAAAAAATCAGGCCTGTACGGGATTCGAACCACTGACCTCTGCGATACTAGTGCAGCGCTCTACCAATTGAGCTAACAAGCCAACTGGGAGCATGCCGTTAAGTTGATTCGTAATAAACCCGTGATGATAAATCAGATACAATGTATATATGAAGTTTGTATATTTTGAACTGCGGTATTAAATACGTATGATGCACGATCCTCGCAGTAGAGAGCGCTATTTATGCAATAGCGAAAATCAGACCTGAAAAAAATCAGGCCTGTACGGGATTCGAACCACTGACCTCTGCGATACTAGTGCAGCGCTCTACCAATTGAGCTAACAAGCCAACTGGGAGCAGTCCGTTAAGTTGATTCATCGTTTCAGATAGAATGACTGAGAGCGAACTTGTATACATTGGAGAATTATTATGTGGTGGTCATTTGTTTAGAAAATTACTCAAACAGTTACTTTACGTTTTTTTTACATCCGTTAATAATGTGTTCGATTTAAATGTTATTTTTGCAATATTTAACTCAGAAATAGAATTACCATCTGGATTTGTGCCAATCATAGGATTTAGATGGCATTACACCACTCTACAAAATGAAGCAAATTTTCATATTTGTAGGAAGAGGAGGTAACAACTTTTTTTTCTCTATTTTTCAGATCGATAATAGATCAGCTTTTCCTGTTGTAATTTTCTATTTACGGGAAGGATTGACAAGAAGCGCAGGAGAACGCATTTTATTCCTTTTACACGGTAACGAGCATTGTAATATAGTTGCATTACACTTATTTTGTAGTGTGGCTAATACTCGCGTTATACGCGATTTCACTTTAAATGCGATGCACGTTTTTTATTCTTCATTTGTTATTCAGTTTGCTTCATTTCCTGAGTGGGGTGATGATGGCTTTGATTTTGATCCTTTATCTGTAAGGGGGTATTCGTGGATTTATTCTATATTAACTGCTCGAGGCTTTGACTTGTATAGACAAGACATTGCTACTTGAAAATTTTTTTATTGCTTGCTCTACTTGTAAAACACAGGAAATCGCTTACAATAAACACATGTGAAATCGCTTAGAATAATCGTACTTGTTTTGCTAAATTAACTACCCCTTTGTACCACAAACCCACGCGTTCAGGGTCTAGGGCTTCTGCATTAACCCTCAAACTCTCATACATTTCATAAATAATAGCAAATGCGATGTTATTCTCTCTCAATTCATTACCCAGTTTTCAAAAATCGTACCACTGAGTGAATAGATTTAGTCGGGTGCTAGCTTGAAGGGGGTGTGCCATCTTGCGTATCTCTGAAATTAGTACATCGTCCACGTCATCACAGTATTCATCCAACTTTGAATAACTAGTAGGATCTCCATGATGAGGGTCTGGAATGTTCTTTCCTTCTCTCCACATTAGTAGTAATAGCTCCGACGAAGGGCTAACGCTCGAAACGTCAGCTTTTGTAATCGTTACGGTGGCCAATTTACCATTTCAACTTTGTTGATATATCCAAACTATTTCGTTACTCCCACCGACGCAGCCCCAAACAGTTTCTTTCGAAACTATCAGCCTTTATTCATTAGTAGTAATAGTTTTAGAAAGTAAAATACCGTTGAGTTGTGACTTACCTTTGAAACTAAATCATACCTCACTTCATCTGACACGTCTTCTTCTGTAAACGGAATCTGCTTCTGGCTCCGTATTACTGTATACGAACTCATACAACTTGTGGGGACAGTAAGGTGAACGGTACAAAATGGGGTCAAATAGTGCAGTAGTAACGTTCTCTTTACATGCCATCTCGTTGAAGGTACAGGTAAAAATGAATCTTTATTCCAATAAGCTAGCCTTTCTAGCCCATTCGTGGCTGTCGTTTATGTATTCGACATATCTAAAAATGGCTTTCATAATCTCATTCCTATGTTGTTCGAATGCGTCGTCATTGTCGAATTCCTTATTTGCAGTAGTTTCTTTTGAATCCCTAACAACATGATCAAAATTGTGAGGCTTCATATAAGCTAGAGCGTGACGCATCATTCTATTTAAAGCATCCTCATCGGCATATGAAATGATATCCAAAATGCTTTCTATCTCAATCACTGCTACTTTAGGATTATCGACTATGTAATGTTGTCTGTCTACCATCTCGTTAATGTATATCCATAGGTTGTTCAATCTCTTCCTACTAATTGATGTTTACAATGAAAACAGATTAATGAATCCAAACAAGTCAACGTATCTACAGTTCTCCTACAACTGTTACAGAAAAATTGTCTCCGAGGGGTGTTGAATAGTGCGTGTGGGTTAAACCTTACTACTTTTTGTAAAGGTGATGGATGTGACGGCATTTACGTCTCTTCCTCCTCCTCGTCGTCTGAAAATTCCCGCTCATAGACAGCTTTAGTGTAATCCACAACAGTTTTTATAACATTGTTCCTCTTTTGAACTATATCCGGTCACGTGTCTCGTACTTAATTAAGGTTCCCTCTGGGTCTTCAAGGTATTCGTCCTTCCAGTTGATAATACGTTGTAATGTATCACTACCACAATCACGGGAAATGTTTTCAAGTAGATCATGAATATATCCAAGTGCGTGTTTTGTTGCTATTTCAGACATGCAAACAGTAATTCATCCATCCAAACTTTCCAGACATGCATCCATTTCAAATGGATGAGGTAAAGTCAATTCTTCTTTTAATCCCGCACTAAACTCGCCCCTGTGATATCATTTTGCTTTTGATTTGCTCATTCCAGAGCCGTTCGTGACGTGTTTCTGTCATTCACTTCTGTTTACCATATTTGGGGTTCATTATATGCAAACCTCTCTCTGATTGCTTCATTCTGACAGACCGTGACGTCGTCTTACACGTCACATTTTATTGTTATGCATATCCGTGACGTCACGTTTTCATTGTTATGTCTATCCATAATGACATATAACTCATTGTTTTTTATTGTCCATATATGGAACATTAATTATATGCATCGCTCTCTGATTGATTACTTCCATCCAGACGACTTATACTACTGTTATCTTCCAGTGACAGTCTACAGAACATCGTCGTTCGCAAACACGAACATAATCGTGTTTTTATCATAAACTACGCATGCAGATAACCATAATTAAACGGAAAAGATTGCAAAAATAAGTCCGTTTGTTTTGATCACTCACGATTAGTTAGAAGTATTATGTCCACAATCAGAGGAGAGCTGAAAAAAGCTTGCATTACTAAACATGATACACTCATAATGGAGGGGGAAAAAAATGGAAATTTTCCGGGTTGGGAGGGCATATCCGCTTAGCGGTCCCAATACGCGAAGGTCTAAATCTGCTGTGACACCGAAATAAGCAGCGAGCTTAAAGAACGAAAGAAGGTAAAGGAAGAGGCATGATTGTATGATCAAATGCTTATTGACTGAATCAGCTCGAACCGCTGAAAGAAAAAGAACGTCCACACCCATCAAATTGAGGATGCGCTCGAAATGATAATTCGATCCTCATTTTACTCGAATCTGCTCTTAAAAGGGAATGCACCCCTTTTTCCTTTAAAGGATCATAATCGAGATCTATTCAAGGTCGCGTCGCCTTCCATCCGCTGCGCATGCTGGATATGTCAGTTCGTAGGCTTAATCCTTCAACAACATTTACTCTTCAGGTCGGTGGTTGTAAATTGCCTTAAGTAAAGAATTTGTTTTCTCCTTTAAAAAAAAAAAGCAAGAAAACCAAGCGTTAACTACCATTCAGAAGCGTCCTCAGTCAAGTCTTCGCATACTTCCAATCGGAGACGAGCCTCTTCTGGGTGGCTGAAAAGGCAAACCGGAAGTGATTTGGCATGGCCGATTCTACGCCTCGTTCTCATCCGGGAGTGTCTGGGAGTGCATATTTTGGCACGTGACTATGTTCCAATATGGCCGCAGATTTCCACTACTAAGTTAAGGAAATTGCTGATTCTGTTCAATATATGGTTGATTAAAGCTCCTAATCTAATCAGACAAGAGGCTTACCGTAGAAAAATGTTAAGTTTCTCACAATGATTTATTTTTTGGCCCTTTCGAAGAATTTCCGTCTTTTACTGAAAGCGAAGGAGGATTGCTGAGGAGGATTGCTGAGGAGGATATCGAAGTTGATCGCAAACTGGATGAAAACTTAATTCCTTTGCACATAATTGACTTGTTAAAGGTAAGAATTTACTTACTGTGATATCTAGAGCTTTTTGGATTGTTTACCACGATTATGTAGCTTAAATTACACATAACTTTGACCACTGAAAGGTGAAGTCGCGTGTTTGATATCCAAAATCATGACTTATATGTTCCACTTTGGTAGGTATCAGATAACTTTTTTAAAGCAGTTTCTAAGTCTTAAACGTTGCGCTTTTATTCAAGCAAAACTATTTTTGGTAAGTTTTGTTTTCAGTAATTAAACAGTCCTTGACTCAGCTTATTTCATTCCATTGTTACTTCAATAGCTTTTGTCGAGGGTGTACATGCAGTCCATTTTACTCGGCAGAGCGTGTCTATTTTGCTAAATTTAGTAGTTTCTGTTTGAAAATTTATGAGGAGTCTCGTATAATTTTAGAGAGAATTTCCTATTTGCTGAAAGAAAACGACCACATGTTTTTTTTCCTTTCTTAAATTGAAAGTATTTCACTTAAAATTGCTGAAAGCCTGGCTAATTCGCTTGCTATGTTGGTCTTTATATTGTTTTATGTTTCAATCTGAAAACTTCCACAACATGTCTAATTCAACTAAGCAAGGTTTGAATTTGTTGGAAGTTACTGCAAAATCACTCATCTTTACACTTGAAATAATATTTAGCATTTTAGGTAAAGTTATCAGCTTAAAGCTGAAATGAAAACATCCTTGAACTTATATTTGTTACACTGGCAATATATACCAAGAATATTGTTATCACAAATGCAATACATATTCGTTTTTCCTTTTTTAAAACAATTGTACGGTCGGAAGCCCTGAAAGTCTGTCCAACTTATCTATGACTTGGTAGCCCTGTGTAAAATGATACACCAACATTCTTTTCAATTGAGCTCTACTTCCTCCAGTTGAAGCAGTTTCTGGGCCAGGTAGACTCCTTTTTAAACAAAGGTACAATATTACCCTATGTAAATACCTTCTGTCACAGTCTTTATTCTATGATTTCCAGATATGAACCGCACTTTGCTTGTTGAAGAAGGAGATGATGAAGTTGCCAATAGACAAGATAAGAAAAAGAGAGAAAAAGAAAAGTTTGTAGAATCTGCAGGTACTTTACAAGTGTGTATTATGTGAAGAAAAAGCCTCTGTTTCATGTTAGAGTTGTAGTTTATACTTGACAGATGTATGTTATCTCAAAACTCTCGAAGCTCATGTTATCTTGATCATGGGCCATGGTTCTCTGTGTGGACTTGTCTCCTGAAATTTGTTACATTACTAGCACTGTATAGTTGTTGCCTTATTATTTAAAGCATTTTTATTTTTTACCTGGTTACATTAAAAAACATGACATTGGATACCATTCTGATTGATACACACTTCAGTCAGAAAATAGTTAGAAGATTTTTTTCAATTTGCAAAACAGACAAAAAGAAAAAAATGACCTTTAAGAAAGCTGATGGAAGGAAAGATGTACATCATAACAGTTCAATAACAGGCTCATCTAAGGTACAGCCAGCTGAAATGGTTGATATGGCTGCAGTAAATCCTGATCCCGACAGTATAACATCACCGGTGGGATCCCCAGCAGTCATTATTCCAGGAACAGGTGTTTATCCAGGAAATGTTGTAATTCCACCACCACCCAGACCTATGGCAGTCCAGCAAGTTCCCTCACAACATCTCCAGCAGAGAGGAAACTGGCCACAGCAGCCACGACAGCAAATTCCTGCCGTCTACATGGTGCCTGCACAGCAAGCTCACTTTATTGCAACACCCTTCCAGTCCCCAGGGCCCCCAACCCAGCAAATACCAGGACAATTTGTTGCACAGTCATACCAGCAAGGTCATTATGCTGTGCCACAGTATCACCAAACTATCCCTGTTGGGCCACCTGTTCAAGGTGTAGTATACAGTGGTCAAGTAGTTGCAGGATCTCACCATGGCAATGTACTCACGAGAACTCAGTCCCTGCCTCCTTCTACAGGTTCGATTACATGTACTATGAGTATCTTTCCATGCTTGCATTGATTCAAATCGTAATATTTTGAGTACAATTTATTATTATTAAATAATCTTCATTGTTCTGGTCAGGTGAACAGATTCAGAATTCAGGGCAGCCTGGTTGGGCAGTGAAATCCCCAGCCAGTCCTCCACCCCCAAATAATGCAGAATCATCCTGGGTAAACCATCCAGCTGAACCAAGGGGAGAAAGTAAGCATTGGATGTCATACTACAGAAGTGCTTTGTAGATGATAGGAATGAAAACAACTTCTTTAGAATTTGATACGATAAGTCTTGTGTGTGTCTACCTTTGAACAGACGATTGAACAGGATCTTAGATTGAATATGTTTTCATTATCCATATCTTCTCTTTCTTGAAAATTTTACACTTTTCATTCCTTTGCTCTTAGCATGGATCAGTGCATGTTCTTCATTTTCATTTTCCACAGCCCCTTGTTTGTCAGTCCCATGTTTATCTGTTTCATGCTCTTCAGTCCTATGTTCCTCACTGTCATGTTCCTCAGTCCCATGTTCCTCAGTCCCGCATTCCTCAGTCCTATGTTTCTGAGTGCCGTGTTCTTCAGTGCCATGTTCTTCAGTGCCATGTTCTTCAGTCCTATGTTCTTCAGTCCCATGTTCTTCCGTCCCATGTTCTTCGGTCGCATGTTCTTGAGTCCCATGTTTAGTCCCATGTTCAGTCACATGTTTGGTCCCATGTTCAGTCCCGTGTTCCTTGGTCCCATATTTGTCAGTCCCATGTTCCTCAGTCCCATGTTCTTCAGTCCCATGTTCTTCAATCTCGCGTTCTTCAGTCTCGCATTGTTCAGTCAGTCTCATGTTCATCAATCCCATGTTCTAAAGTTTCATCTTCCACAGTCCCATGTTTCTTATATCCTGTGATCATAAAAATTAATGATCAGTCACTTTTGACTGCCAGATGAAGACTAGGGATGGTTTTTTTGTTATCAGTTGTGGTGATATTCTTTAATTAAACAAGATATATAACATTATTTATGTATTCACAGATAACAAATAATTTGACAGGTTCTCAATCTTGCCACTCATTTTCAGGGATGTGGAGACGAGGTGAAAATCATGCAAACATTCCTAACAGTACACAATGGGCAGCATTTCCTCCAAATGCTTCACTGGAACAAATACCAGTAGTGAATGAACTGGATGAAGAACACAGCTCCAGTGATGAAGATGTTGATCGCAGCAGTTCTCCTGAGCTTGCGGGTGAAGAGGGTGAAGTTCTCCTTAGGTATGTTTTGAACTACACAGTACAATGTTCATTGTACCATGTGTACATGATTTTAAAACTTATTTTCTCATTCATTCAGAGCTCCATCACTGGCAAGCTTTGCAGAAAGTGTCAGCAGCATTGAAGAGGAATCAGAAGATAATGTTTGGCATATTTTGCCTGATCAAAGAGAATACTACACAAAACAGTTTTTAAGACTGCAACCAGCTGTGGATGGTGTTGTGAAAGGTAACCAACAGTTTTAGTAACATTCATGTTCACTTTTGTCAATAACTGTTGGAAATAACATTATATGCACTCAATGACTTTGCCTATAGGGGGGGGAGGGGAGGGGAAAGCTGATTTGGATTGGTATTTTGATATATGCCTTTTGCTTAGTAGTGAGTGGCTGTCATGAGAATGGTCTTGTTAATGTATTGTGTTAACAGTAGTGCTACCTTTGTGAGCACAATTTGTTAACCATGCAAACTTTGCAATGTAGGTCCAAGAGCAAGGGATTTTTTCATGAAATCTGGCTTACCAGTTGAGGTGCTATCCAAAATATGGTATGCAACAATGAATTTTTTGTAGTTGATCCGTATTATCTAGGATGGCATTGTAAAAAAGAGTTTCTGTGCTCCTTGAGTATTGAGTATTTGAGTATTTAAGGATTTGTACAAAGTACTGGAGCAGAAACAATAGGACATAGGTCCCCTACAAGGTTTAACAGGGTTCGTACAGGTCATGGAAAACCTGGAAAGTCATGGAATTTCAAAATTTCATTTTCCAGGCCTGGAAAGTCATGAAATTTAGGTGTGGGTCATGGAAAGTCATGGAAAATCAATATGCTCTCTGTGAGTGAAAGGCATTAAGACCCAAAGTTGAAAAGTTAACTGATGAGTCCAAAAATCAGATTTAATTTCATT